CCATCGGTTTCAGTTCACTGAGGCATCGGCAATTAGGCGGCTGAAACCTAGTTTATGTAAACAGACAGCGTTTGTCGCCAGTCTAGCACTGCCTCGGTGAGGCTGGTGGCCACATTCCTCTAGTAGGAGTGCCGGCCAGCATCAGATGAACGTTGACCGTAGCCCACTTTGATGGAGGGACTCTCGGCTGGGTCGTATACCTGGATCATACAGCAAATCATCGACGCCTATGGTAAGCAGTATCTATGGTATACGTATATGAACATGTACAATGTTGCCTAAGTTAGGTGGAACGGCGTGTGTCAGGTCTTCGTATTATCGGTAACTCTCGATGTACTGTATAACGACCGGTTAACGACACATGGTCTATCATTGCAGCGAGAACCCACTGTAATCGCAGTTTACATTAACTATCGCTATCCCCTAGCGAAGCTTCGCAACGCCAGAGTCAATTCCAACTGACGGTCATGATGTAGCGCACTCGGGGTGGTCCCATATAGTCTTTGAAGGAACGTATAAGTAAACGTTAACAAGTAATATATCCGTGGTGTTAGACGGGTTACAGATCGAGTAGGTGAAAAGCACGTGTATAGTTATTTCGTACATGTTGCACCATTTGTTTATCGTGGTGCAGCGTCACGCAGGCACGTACATTTTAACAACTTGCTCCAAGAACTGCGTCCTCCACTCAGTCTTGCTCAGTACGCCATCCGGATCCCCTCGGATCATTTCGGAACATCGCCGCCTCATGGGTTGTTTAACATAGACCTTAACGATACTCCAAATACCTTCGATTGCATTCCGTTGTGGATAGTACGCTGCCGGTCGCAGAAGTGCTCCTGAGCTGTAAGGCTTCTCTTAGAAGATACTCTCCAGATCGGTGTAACAGGGTGCGTTATAACAAATAAGGAGACAACTTTTCGCGAAATGGATGACTTTGATGTCAAGCAGTAGTCGCAACCACCGCGCACATCTCACTTTAGTAGACCACCCTCTAATGACAGAATATCTGAGCCATCCATCCTCATTCATCGCACTGATCAGATGAAGATTTTGTCCCCGGGTTCCAAGTGCTGAAAGTCCGCTTGTGCGAACGCAGAATAGATTAAAGTTTGTCTCATCTATCCATACTGCTCGCCGTCCTTCTACCTCCAAGTTCATCAACTTCAAAACGTAAGCCTTCCTTAGCCTTTTCCTCTCCATCGTATTCATGGGGTCCGGTATTGCATGTAATTCCTTCGTTGTCATGAGTCTACCGTCTATGTAACGGGCGATTGTGCTGACGCTGACGTCCACCTCGAACTCCAGCTTCCGTCGTCACCGAAGAGTTTCCAAGGTAAACGTAGGGTCCGCTTCCACCTACTCCATCAGGCAATCCACGTGACTATCTGACAGACACCATCGACGCAACACGCTAGGAGCTCTTGTCGGCTCATTCAATCCCAATGTTCTAATCCACATTCTACATGTCTGTACATTTACCTGTAACATAGATGCAATGCCCTTCCAGTCATTGCCCGCTTCATTTGTTTACATAATTAGAGCCTTTACGTCGGACGAATGTTGGGCGTACCTTCTACTTCTTCCCATTGCGCGTAATTTGAGTTAAAGACTAAAAGAACTATATAAATCAAACTAGAGATAAACATGGTAGGTGAACTAGGAGGAAGATTTGCCGTTCGTTTTGCCCACTGCGTGGGGTTCCCGTGCAACCCGACTGGGAGAAAGCAGAAGTGACAACTCCGCTGACTAGAGACGGTCTATCGGAACCATATGGACGTTTCCACTTATACGTCAGACGCATGAAATCACCTTGACATTTTGGAACTAAATTTCCACCCCCCGTATACCAAGCGGGTGTGATCTCCGCCGTTTGTCGTGCTGGCTGGCACGTTGTCCCGCCCAGGTCATTGTGCGTAATGCCCCCGAAATTTTTGCACAACTCATACAACTCACACGTACGGACACGTACATAAGGTCTCTCATGCGAGGCAGCCTGACATTTGGGCACCGCTCACATCATGCCCATGGCTAGCATGCAGTGCGATCTGAATGAAATTTAGATGGGTATTGGATGAAATTTCATCCGCGTTACGGATGGAAGCTAATGATTGACGGATTAAACAGTTCGCCTCTGTATTTTGCTCTTTTCAAGTAGTGACAGCAGACGCTGAAATCCTGGGTTTTGCGATAGGAGCAACGCTTGTGACGCACTTAACATTCATTGAATAATTTTGTTTATCTGTATGAAAATTCAAAGCGTGGGCAATTTTTATTGGGCCTATATTTATATTTTATGTGGTGGCCTGCGAATATTATAAATTAGTAATAAAGCAGGGAATACGTTTACCAGGAAAGTGGGTGAATATTACTCGACTTTCAGGACGTTTACTTATTTGTACTGCCATTTGGGATCGGCACTATTGCTTAGCTTTAAATGGACAACATAATATATTAAAATGTATAAGCGTCTGATGCACGGGCTGATTACTCAGGCTCGCCAAATTGCAACGCGCACGAAGAGCCATCTAAAACTCCATGCAGCTGTACTACAAATCAGATGATGCCACGCGTGTGCCTTCTGGTGGCGCGTATGAATGCACTAAAGGCGTACTTCAGCAGTTTATTTAAGTCGCCTAATCAAAATATCGGATGATGATTCTTTTATACTTGTACAATATGAACTCTGCTAAAACGCAGTAATCTCCAGACGATTAGTTAGTGGCTCTAATGTTGCCGAGTGACAGATTACAGTGCTAACCGAAGCATATGAATTCTGGTGCCAACGCACCTTACTTATGCAACATGAAAAGTTGTCATTGCATAATCACATATAAAAGGAAGAAAGTGTATCTTTTACAGTAAGCAAGTATATAGTAAAAAAGACATATCATGAAAGGACCTTTTTTAAGAAGAGATGGAGCAGTGGCGTAGGTTGCAGTCAAGGGTAGTATGTCTCGGGGCGGCAAGTGATATTAGGCGACATTTTTTTACCTTCGACTTTCGATACTAAATGTAAAGGGCAAAATATCCAGATAGGTTATGGGTTGCACATTTTATTGTTACTTTGCAGGCCAACAACGTATCTGTGCACTATGTCATACTTGTGCGCAAGCTCTTCCCAGTAATGCTCTTTGTTGTCCCATGGTGGTCACTTTTGCCACATTTACCCCTGTGTCCCAAATGATAATCCATTTCACCGAAAACTAATGTGTACTTTACTCCGGGCCGATTATGTGATCTTCATGCGCCCATTCTGCTCTCACTCAGGACGGATACTTATCTACCGCCCTGGGCGGCAAATTTAGTTGCTACGCCACTGAGATGTAGGAACTTTTTCTGTATTGGCTTGCCCGCTATTCACAATAGCAAACAGCCGCACCAGTGTTCAGAACGGTATAAAAGTTTGGCCCCACTTTCTTTCCTTTACACAGATATCCCAGTTTGCATCCCATAGTACTATTAGACACTGTTCCAGTATGCTTGAATCAAAGACTCACGTGAATATTATAAGTCCAGCTGTGCCCTTAGAGGGGTGTCAAAATTGTTGAACAGTTAGTTTCTTTGCGTCATTGCTTCTTTGCAGCGCTGTATCCATGCACATGTTGTGACTAGGTTTTGCTTCAGTCCCCCCTATAGCTTAAGTCATGCTCTCTTTGTGAGTGAAGAGAGTCTTCAAGTATTCATCTGCACCGTTATTCCATTGGCGTATCTTGTACCCAAGTCTTAGTCCCAAGTGATCAACTTGTACTATGATGAATCCTGCAATCGCTACAACCGTTATTGCTCCACTTGAGAAATGCAGTTAGTGACGCTTTTAGGGAGAATTTAAACACTTATAAACCTGAGCAAAGACTGCGCAATAGTATTTTGTGTATGCTATAATCTTTTGCGAAGTTACGGCCAACGGACACCTTCAACAGTCTGCGTAAACACGATGCAACAAATAACAGCAGAATGATTTCCTTCACAGCCAACAGAAGCTTGCTCGAGCAGTGTACGGGAAAGAGTATGGTTGTCACGCAGCAACAGTAGGAATTACTCCCCCGAGTTAATCTAGTTGGCATGTTATCGCAATGCTAGTTAACTCCGTGTGTTCCAGAGTGGATAACGACAATTAACGAATCACCCTATAGTCCGCACGCCCCAGAGCGGTGTGAATTAGTCTTCATCCTGATCACCCATATGTTTCCGATAACACAACAACTTATACCTCACATGTACCTTTTGTCAGTTTTAAATTTATAATTGCTGACTTATGATTCTAAGTTGGCGAAAGCGTGTAGATTGCATTTTGTTTGGTAAACCACACCATCTAAGTAACTTGCTCTACCTTGCCTCCTCTCAGTGGTGGCTTAACAGATTCGGGAAAATTGCTCGGGAAGACATATACATTTATTTGGCAGGTTGGAACGTGGGTGAAGCGAGTGTATTGCGAACATTTGGATACCTTATTATATAAACCAAAAGTCTTAATAAAGCAAAACGGAAAAACCAGAATTGATTCATAGTAGTCCGGAGGTTTCCACCGCTTACCTGTGTTCGTTGTGTACGTTACTAACGTAAATGACTAGTATGTTTTACACATTAGTTGATCCGTGCGGAATCTTGAATTGCATGTAGAGTTCAAGTGTTTGAACGGAGCGTGGCTTTTTATTGGTTAGCACGGTTGGTTTCCATCGCGCAATGTCTTTCCATTCCGCTAGCTAACAACGCCTATCCATGTCATTTCTAAGAAGAGAGCACAGAAACTTCCACTATACCAATAAAACATTCTCTGTATCTATCTGTTATTTTGAACCGCAGTCTGGGCTCCCTCTAAAAGTTCGGTTCCAACACACATATTCGAGAAATATAACCTTGAAATTACGGCTCATCTCTCACCTTAGCTAGCGATGCGTTAGTTCATACATTTTCTTATTATTCATGAAAGTTTGATGGTCGACACTCGCTATTTTGCAATGAGTACCGCTTTTCATTCGTTGAAACCCATTGTTCAGCCTGTGCCTGTTTCATCAATCGTCTTGGTCAAACGAGAACCACGATAGCCGTGGATGGTGCCTTCTTCCGCTTCAGTTCAACATTCCCAGTTATCCTGGTTGAGACGATAACTCGGCTGATTCCCTACTCATACACCGTGAGTGGGAATACATTTGATGGTTTAGTAAAATTTTCCATTTATTACAGGCCTGACACTTTTTGTTTAAAATGTAACGGACACCACCATGCCGCACCATTTAAATGCCGGCTCTAAACACTGGTATCCAGTGTTGCATTCGTTCTTCATTGCGACATACTTATAAGTGAGAGAGTTTGAAGTGAATAATTAAGGTTTCTTCTTGCCTGCTTACAAAACAGATAGTCCTTTTTTTACTTTTAGTTCAAGCTGAAGCTTATTGACGACGGAATAGGGAAAGGAGCCGCGGCGATAATCGCAGCACATAAACTGCTGACTCCGGTTCAGCCGCGCTTTACCATCTTCATGTGAATACGCTGACGATGGGTGCAGTCGACACCCGGAATCCACTAAGCGAAGTAAAGATCTGTAGTGCTTTATTTTTGTCTCTCATTTTTAATAATCAACTGATCTTAGTAACTGTTTCTTGTGATGTCATAAGTAAAACGGTGGATGGGTGTAAAATTCGATAGTCAACTAGCGAATTTCGCACACGTCTGTTTTCGACACACGCTTGAATGCGGTGAGAAGTGATGAACCCTGCAAAAATGGATCCCCAGTTTCAACTATCAAAGAACAGAAGTCCTGCCCGTTCCGCCCACTTGACATGCGTCGCCACAGGACTGCAAATCAGCGATCTGCACGTATATTCATCGATCGACAAGTGAAACGGCATGAGCTGGCAACCCATCATGTGATGAGTTAGCTTTGAGGTATGCCGTTCGCCCACCGCACGTCAGTGCAAGCTTCAGCGCTATGTTACATATATAGGCAGTCAGTTCACCTCTGCCAGACAAGTCACCACGCGCCACATGACCCTCTGCATTATTTGGTTTTGAGAACTAGATATTGTCCGGTGAAGAACCGATTCTGCTCCTCCAGTTTTCAATCCATTGTTATGAATTACGCTAATAAACCTGAGATACTGCTCTCGTATAGACTATATAACTGTGAACGGGAAGCTAGCGAAGCGATTGCGACTTGTTTGCTAATGGAATCAAAACACGGCTTCATTAATACCCTGGATGTGATTAGGAACCGGTCGCCCAAAATTTAGAGCTCATGCTCAAATCAACCAACT